CTCCAAATTTTGACGTAAGAAGACCAAAAAAGAAAGTCTAAAAATCTACCTCACTTATAAAGGTAAGGGAGAGGAGATATTTCAAGTGAAAAGTTAGAAAAAAGGTAAATTAAAGAGAGTTATCCCTTAACCCTGAGGTCTAGAACACACGTATTAGGAGATGTATGGGGCTTGATTTTATAGTCATGTTCATCTGCACTTTTAAAGTGTGTTTGTGAGTGTATCTTGGTAGTTATGATTCTATTTGATAAAAAAATATTTTATACTTAGTTTTTGAATAGATATTGTCCTGTGAAACTTATAGATTTTTAAAGTGAAACTATTAATTTAAAAATCTTGTAGATAACTAAAGAGTCATTTTAATTGAGTACTTTATTAAGGTACTCAATATGGATAAGTGTTTGTGTTTGATGCATTTGAATAAAGTTGTATTGTGTGTTGTGTTCTTTTTAAATCTATGATTTGGCATGAGTTTGGTTATGTAAGAAATTAAAAATGTGCATATAGGCATGTGTAGGCTGAGTGGGCATCATTTGTAGATTTAAGCTCTTTTAAGGGTGGAAATGTGTGATGAAACGCTAAAGGAAATTAATATATAAGTATATGTGGTCTTAGGAGTTTGGTCATGATTTTAACTTAGACCTTGAATTAATAATTGAATTTAATGGCTAAAGTTAAACTTTTTTGTGAAACCTTATGCTTTTTTTTAAAAAAATAAATAAGTAGAGTAACGCTACTTGGGTAATGGTTAAAATTCAAGGAAAGAAGTGAAACTAATGAGCTTGGAACTCTTAAAGAAAGTGCAAAGAGACACAAGTATAGGTACTTGCCAATTTTATAGCAGGGTTCTCAATAGTTGGTGAAATAATATGAGATCCTAAGTTGGCTGATGTTTGTGTGCATGATTAAGGGAGTGAAACTCCAAGTTAAACATGACTATATAGGAGACAAATGTGTGTGAAATTCTACTCTCCTGTGATAGAAGTCACAAGGTTATTTTATACTTATTGTTGGTCAAGGATAAGGAGTACCTCGGTGTCTAAAGGATTTAATGGACTTAGGTGACTTACAATAGCCCTATGAGTAATCCTAGGCTCGAACCTTTGGATGAAAGTCTCCTTACAATTCTTTTTTAAACATTTTGAGTTTTCATAAAAATAAATTCAATTATAAATACATAGAGTAATGAGTATGTGCAACATATAGAAGTGACTTTAAACCTTCCAAATTTTAATAATCATAAATTTTGTTATAAATGCATAGAATATTAGATAGGTGCACTTAATTTTACCCCCTCTCTCTCTCACACACACATACACATCATGATTAAGGGAGTAAAACTCCAAGATAAACATGACTATTAAGAAGACAAATGTGTGTGAAATCCTACTCCTCCGTGATAGAAGTCACAAGGTTATTTTATAATTATTGTTTGTGAAGGATAAGGAGTACTTTGGTGTCTAAAGGATTTAATAAACTTAGGTGACTTACAATAGCCCTATGAGTAATCCTAGGCTCGGACCTTTGAATGAAAGTCTCCGCGCAATGCTTTTTTAAACATTTTGAGTTTTCATAAAAATAATTTCAATTATAAATACATAGAGTAATGAGTATGTCTAACATATAAAAGTGACTTTAAACCTTCCAAATTTTAATAATCATAAATTTTGTTATAAATGCAGAGTATTAGGTAGATGTAGTTAATTTTACTCTCTCTCTCTCTCTCTTACACACACACACATATCATGATTAAGGGAGTGAAGCTCTAAGATAAACATGACTATTAAGAAAACAAATGTGTGTGAAATCCTACTCCCCCGTGGTAGAAGTTATAAGGTTATTTTATAATTGTTGTTAGTGAAGGATAAGGAATACCTCAATGTCTAAAGGATTTAATGGACTTAAGTGACTTACAATAGTCCTATGAGTAATCCTAAGTCTTCGTGCAATACTCTTTTAAACATTTTGAGTTTTTATAAAAATAAATTCAATTATAAATACATAGAGTAATGAGTATGTGCAACATATAGAAATGGCTTTAAATCTTCTAAATTTTAATAATCATAAATTTTGTTATAAATGCATAGAGTATTAGGTAGATGCAGTTAATTTTACTCTCTCTCTCTCTCACAAACACACACACACACACACACTCTTTTATATATATATATATATATATATATATATAATTTAACTTACATTTAATGAGTTATAATTTATTATTTTACTAACTGTCAGTATAAGTTAAATGACTTAGATTGAGTATAAGAGTTTTTAGATTTACACTAGTATGAGAAAATTATGTCTCTATACATAGGAAAAGATATTTTTACACTAGTTTAAGTATAAAAACTCTTACATTTGATTTGAACATTTTATTTAATTAGTTATAATTTATTACTTTACTGACAGTTAAATATAAATTTAATGAAAAGCTTAGATCAACTGTAAAATTTTTTAAACTTACATTAAATTGAGAAGATCCTACTCTTATATATATATATATATATATATAAAATTAAATATGTACAATTCAATTTAATTAATGACTTCATATTCTACCTATCACAATTTTTATTTATTAATATTATTATTTTTCTTTCTTTTGTAACTCTATGTTACTTGTTAAATTTACAATTAACATTAATGACAAAAATGGATGTGCAAGTTCTAATTCAACAGTGCAACTCGTGTTAATCTTTTGATGTAGTAATATTTGATTTATTATGAGCATAAACTTCATCTTTTTAAGCAAATTTACGAAGAAAGTTTAAAAAATATATTCAAGAATTAGATTGAGTGGGAAACTTTAAATCTCTGCAACATGAACCAATTTTGCATAATTTGCCAAAAAATTTGGTGGGAAACAAAATATGAATTATACTCTTGTAAACCAAGAGTTTAGGAAAGAAAGAAAAAAAAAGCCACTGCCATTAAAACCAATTTCAATAAAGTTATAAATGAGAAAGAATAAATGTAGTGGAAAATTATTATTGTAAGTGATTATTGGGATGTTAGAGAAAAATAAATGAAATGGTTAAAGGTATAAAATAAGGGTATTTTAGTAAAAATATGATAATTTACTACATAATTAACACTTTCTTAATATGTGTGTAAAAACCTTTTAAACAATAAAACATACAAAATGGAGGGAGTATCATTTTAAAAGAAATTTATTCTAAGCACTTTTTTAATAAATTGGTCATGATTAAAAATTTATAAATTTACACTATTAAATAAAAATATCATTTATTATAAGTATTATAATAAAATACACATACACAAAAATTAAATAATAATAATATTTATAAAATTTCATAAAAGCAAATATTAATATAATACTATAACGATTATTTATCATAGAACTAAAATTTAAGGCAACTTCATTTCTTTGATGGTCTTCTCTTCCTAAGGACCGACTTTCTTATAGAGATTAGCTTCATTTAAATAAAGATATTTTAGTAAAAATATAAAAATATACTACATAGTTAATACTTTTTTAATATATGTGTAAAAACCTATTAAACAACAAAACATATGAAACTGAGAGTATCATTTTAAAAGAAATTTATTTTAAGCGCTTTTTTAATAGTTTAGTTATAATTAACAGTTTATAAATTTACACTATTAAATAAAAATATCATTTCAATTACAAGTATTATAATAAAATATGCATACACTAAAATTAAATAATAATAATAATGTTTATAAAAATTCATGAAAGCAAATATTAATATAATACTATAAAGGCTATTTACGAGAGAATCAAAATTCAAGGTAACTCTACTTCTTTGATAGTCCACTTTTCTTAAGAACATTCTTTCTTATAAAAATAGTTCCATTTATTAGTTTGCCTTTTTCTTGCACACATCATGTCTTAATTAAATTCAATAAGAGCAGCTCTACTTCATTAATAACTCTTTCGATACACTAATGCTATGACAATTTAGTTTTCTTCTCAAATCAAATTTATTTTTTAATAATAAAATTTTTAATATATATGTCTCATAATTAAATATCATCAAATAAAATTAAAATAATTACTTAATTCACATTTTACAAATAAATTTATATAATTTAACAAAATTTATATTATAATAAACTTTAATATAATAAATTTTAAAATTTTTTATTAAATAATTTTTTAATAATAACTTAATAAATAATTAGAATGATAATTAAAAAAAAAATTATTATAATCATTGTCCACTCAAACTAATAGAACATATCAACTGATCTCAATATTGATAATATTTAACAAAAAATTATAATTAATTTTAATAATAAAATATTTATATTTATATTTAGAGCTTTAAGATACATATTCTTAAAAAAAATAAAAATTGGTAACTAAAAATAAATATTCTTATGTCTTGAGTTGTGAACATATTTTACGGTCAAAATAGATTTTATTTTATTTTTCAATCTTTCTCTTTAAAATATTATCTCTAACACAAAAAATTATTCAAAGTTATTTATGTAAAAAAAAGTTATAATTTTTTGAAAAGTTTTAAAAGAATAAATAAAAGAAAGAAAATAGATACTCAATCAGACAAAATAAAGAAGATGAAATGAGAACGAATGTTTTTACATTGACGAAGAAAAAATGACGACAGACAATAGACGAACAAAAACGTGATTTCAGGAAGGGGGTTTACTAACAATTTAAATAGTTTTTCATATAACACTATTTAAATAATGTTGTGTCTTTACTTAATTAATTGCTTTATTTTCATTAAACATATTTTTTATAAAAAAGAATTAATATAAAAAATGATATACGAAGGATCTTACAAAAAAGACTCTTAAAATGCTTAAAAAACCGTCCATGTAAAGCCTTGGACACTAGTAGACTCCTGGACATTGACACTCCAGCAAAGTCAATAATTAAACAAATAAAAATAAAAATAAAATAAAATAACCAAATTTATTACATATTTCAACGGATAATTATAACACTAACAAAAGGATAAAATTCCAAAAAATAGCGAAGCGCCAGCAATCACAAACATAAAATAGCGACACTAACGTGAAACCTTAATTGAAGTCACATGAATCTCCCTCTTTTGTCTGCTAAACATACACGAACCAAATCCACAAGCAATATCTCATCGCCCCCTCCACCTTGTGCTGCGCGTGGACTTGTCCGTTCCCCCACTTCACGCGCCACCCTCCTCCGCCACACCCCAAATCAAGGAGCGCGTGGACACCCAAAATAATAATGATAATAAAATAATGATGAAAAAGCTGAATCCATAGCTCCTGAAATTGCACAAAGCACAAACCATCAGCAACACAGCTCAAGCAGCTAAAAACTTGGTGCTACCTTTCCAATTATAGCACTTCCTCTAACATCACTCCTTTCCTTTTGGATCAACACCCGCAAAAAAAAAAAAAAACCAAGAAAAAGGAAAAGAAAGATCTCTACCTTGTTCTTTCATAACTCTTTTTTTTTTTTAGCTTGATTTCTATGTCTCGCCCACCCAACTACGAGTTCCAAGAATGGTGGAACAAGCAACGGGAGAAGAACAGCCTCGACCTCCACGACGACCAATCAGACCAATTCATGGTGGTGGACGTCGACGACGGCGGCGGTGGCGTCCGCTCCGATCCTTCGGTGGAAAAAGAACGTTCTAGAAGCGCGCGGCAACTGTCGTGGCTGTGGCTCTTGAAGTTCCAACAAATCGCGGCGTCGCTGGGATGGTTATCGAACGGTTTCTTCTTCCTTGTTCGAACCGCGAACCGCAGGATCGCCGATTCGGCGTCATTTCGCGGCGATACGTCGCGGCTTTACCGTGCGATCCGCGTGTTCTTGATCGTGGTGATCGTTCTGTTAGGGTTTGAGCTTTTGGCTTATTTCAAGGGGTGGCATTTTAGTCCACCGGATCCGAGTGACGTGGTTGGAATGGTTGGGGTTGTTTATGCCACGTGGCTTGATGTTAGGGTGAAATACTTGTCGCCACCGTTGCAGAGTTTGGCGAACCTGTGCACCCTGTTGTTCATTGTGCAATCGGTGGATAGGGTGGTTTTGATTTTGGGGTGTTTTTGGATTAAGTTTCGGAGGATCAAGCCTGTGGCTAGTGTGGATTATTATGATAGCATTGCTCGGAGCGTGGAGGATTACCCCATGGTGTTGGTTCAGATTCCAATGTGCAATGAGAGGGAGGTAAGGAGATGTAGGTTACTTACTTTGTCCCTTTTCAAACCTGTTTTGTTATGTTATGTCTTCTTAATGGTGCTTTTTTTTAATGATGGTGTCGGTTTTGGGGTTTGTTTGCGATCTGTGCTCTTGTGTGAATGTTGTGAAAATGTGATGTTGATGTTGATGATGAGTGTTTCTGTGGGCAAAATGCACGTAAATGAGGTGGGTGTGTGCAGAAGTTAAGGCTGGTTGAAGTTTGAGCATTGTAACTTGGCAAAGTAATTACAGAGGCGAGCTTATGGAAGAAGAAGCAACTGGCTTGCAGCTGCTTAGAACAATAGAAAAGATATAAGAAAAAGCAATAGATTTGGATAGAAGTCTTAAGCTCACCTGCTTAATTAGAATACTCAACATGTGCATAGATTCAGAATATAGGACGTGTATTTGTAGGCAGAGAATAAATGTATAAGTGTAACAAAAGACTATCAATGATAATAAGATATTAAGATTGGTGAACACATGATCTACAAAATCGTGTTTCTTTCAATACAGTGAAATGCAACTAAATGAGGCGGTGTCTGCAGAAGGGTGTTTGAGGGTTTGATAACTTTGATTGGCTTCTCCTATGAGTCATGTAGGGGTATATAATATGTAGCATGGAGCATGTGTGGTTGATTGAAGTTAGAACATTGTAACTTGCAAATGGCAAAACAAGGGGTATGTGTCTTGGAGCTTAGAGCTGTGAGCCTGTGACGGAATGGATGTTTGCTGAGAATCTGAGACATTGTGAATGAGACTGAGACTGGGTAAGTTGTTGGGTTTTGATGCTACCTTTTAAAGAGGAGTGGCAGATGATTGTTGTGTATGTGGTTGTTTAGGGGAAGAGGTAATCTTCTCTGAATGCTCCACTTGGGGAGCAATTACAGATGCAAGCTTATAGAAGCAACTACCATTTGGCTATGTAGATTGAAAAAAGAAAAGATGAAAGAAAAAGCAATAGATTTGTTTAAGATTCATATGCTTAATAAAAATAGTCAACCTATGCTTTGTATTTAAAGACAGATGCTAAGTATGTAGGTGGAGCAAGCCTTTTATATCAATATGGTAATAAGATATCAAGATAGGGGTATATTTTTTGACATCCTTCAAATATTGCTTGTTTAATTATTATGTCTTCAAATACAGGCTCCTCCCATTCTTTTCCTATCATGTCAGCTCACTAAGTTTCATAAAATGGGCATCATTTTAGTTGAAAGGTGGAGGTGCATCAAAGGCATTCTTAATGAGCTGATCAATTAAAAATCTGATATCTTGATTTAATGTCACTCTACTCTCCTTTTTTGGTTACCATAATTTTTGTCTTGTTGGCCCATAGGTTTACCAGCAATCCATTGGAGCAGTTTGTATCATGGATTGGCCAAAGGAGAGAATGCTTGTACAGGTTCTCGATGATTCTGATGAAGTAGATATCCAGCAGCTTATCAAGGCAGAAGTGCATAAATGGCAACAAAGGGGTGTTCAGATAATATATAGACATCGGCTTATTCGTACAGGCTACAAGGCAGGCAATCTTAAATCAGCAATGAGCTGTGATTATGTTAAGGATTATGAGTTTGTGGCAATATTTGATGCTGATTTTCAGCCAACACCAGATTTCTTAAAGAAGACAATACCTTATTTCAAGGTAATTTTATGTCTATACATTTGAAGTTAGCAGCATATATATGAGTATGAAAAAGAACAGTTATAGATGTTGTTATTTAGACTTAAATAAAAATGCTTATAATGATATCTTTATGTTTTAGATTGAACACATCCTTGTATAAAGGCTTTTGAGTTTGAATTTGGAAATGTGATGCTTTTCACCCTTTGGAAGTTGAGCTCAAGCATACTATATAACATTTTGTGTAACAATCTAATCAATGATTTTAAATCAAGATTACTCATTCAGGGCAAAGGGTGATAAGTCGCACGCATGTGCAGCCATCCACCCATCCTCATTCAAAACTAAAGTTTTGAACCTTCAGTGATTATTTTTATTTGTATCATTTTTGTAACTGGTTTTCAAGTTGTATACGTGACTCTCAACTGGAAAGAATGAAAGAAAATTTCCCATAATTTTAGGAATTTAATTCACATATTATGAGACCAGAGTTGTTCCTTAATTCATCTAAAGGTAGTGCAACATTTAGTCTTGATAGTTGAATTTTTCTTTTAAATAGTATTTGTTGATACTTTGTTAGGAGTTAAGAGAGGTAAGGAAAGTTTGTCAGGACAGTTAGGAACTTAGGATGTTAGTTAGTCAATTAGATGGTGTTAGTGACATTAATAGAATGATTGAAGGGAAGGGGTTCATTCTGTTCTATATTCCTTGCAAATTGAGCTCTTGCTCCTTGTAAAAGGAGTAATACATTGTGAAGGGGAACCCTTGGATGATTGGAGTGTTCTTTCTCCTATTTTTTTGTTCAATCAATAAATCTTTTTTAGGTAACAAATTGGTCCAACCTACTGAATTCAAATTCCTAGGAGAAGAGGGCAGAAGTTACGGAGTCATGATTCACAGCCCTTGGCTGGTCTTCTTTTCCCATCAACCAAACGTAACACCCGAACAAAAGGAACCATGATTTTCAAAGTATATACCACATTATTCCAAAATACAGGATTTAATAGAATTTTAGTTGCTTGCTTCCCTTTAACATCCTTTGTCAATTTGTTTTTACACCACTCCTCAAAAGTAAATATCTTTCTAAGATTTGTTTTTTTCTTGATGAAGGTTTTCTAATGATAGAAAAGAAGTTGCAAGTCTAGTAATTGTATGCCTCACCAATTCCTTCTTGTTTGTAAAATTTCTCAACAAACTCAAGGTACTTGAATGACTGTAGATAAAGCCAACAACAAATATTCCCCTTTGAATTGTCTTCTTTATCAAGGGAAACTTTCCAATATCTTCATGCATAAGATCTATGCAATGAGCTGCACAAGGAGTCCAATAAAGATGTTGTCTTTTTGCTTCCAACATCTTATCAGTTAAAACATAATTGCTTCCATTATCTGTTATCACTTGCACAACTTTATCTTCTCCAATTTCTTCCACAAGAGCATCAAGCATCTCAAATAATTTTTCACTAGTCTTCACAAAATTAGATCCATCAATAGACCTCATAAACATAGTCCCAGCAGGAGAATTGACCAAGAAATTAATCAAACATCTTTGCTTTTGATCTGTCCATGCATCTGACATGATAAAACAACTATGTTTGCTCCATTGCTCCTTATGATCTTTCATCAAATAATCAGTATATTCTAGCTCTTAAGAAGTGAAACTCGAATATCATGATAATTTGGGGCCGGTAAATTTGAACTAAAAGCACCAACAGCTGTGAGCATTTCTTGAAAGCTCTTCAGTTTAACAAGGTTAAAGGAAAGGCCATCTTGATACCAAAATTGAACTATGTATTGATGGACCCTTGTCTTGGCTTCTTTGTCACATCGTTCTCTTATATTTGTTTGTTTCAATTTTTCCTTTTTTCTTTTCTCAATGGCACTGTCTGGCTTTCTACAAAACAAGTCCATTAGCCCTTTCTGATTTTCAATGGCAATGCAACGGGTTTGGGTATCCTCTTCATCTTCACTTACATCATAGCTTATACTTTTAAAGCTTCTCACATTTGGCATCTCAAAATTATTTTGACTCTTTTTCCTTTTGATATGTCTCAATCTCTTTTCTAACTTCTTTTGGACACTTGGGACAAGCTTTCACGTTACCCTTCTTTCCAATTAAATATTGTTTCACTCTAGTGATTCCAGCACTCATAACTTTTCTACAAAAGTTACATACAATGTTGTTTGTATCTCTATTTTTCACCGAATGAGCATATTTCCATCCCGGATTAGAACAATTAGAAGTTCTTGAACAATTTGATGAAGACTCATGTTGAGACATGTTAAGAGTAGCTGAAATAAATTGAATTTTTTTTTTAGGAAAATTAGAGAAAAAATAGAGATGTGGGAGAGGTAGAAATTGAAAGATGAAAAAGGTAAAACTTAAATGAGAGAAATAAAGAAAAAACTGAGAGGAAAAATGAAAAAAATAGCTACTAGAAAAAATGGAGTTGCCAGAAAAGGAGCTATAGTTGCCGAAAATGGAGGTTAGAGTCGGAGATGGTGCATCCGTCGGAAATGGAGATTGAAATGCACCAAAACAAAAACCCAAGGAGCCCAAGACAAAAGGAGATCGAGAGTGAAATCTTGATGGAGGGAAGAGAGAAGAGATGAGCAGAGAGGAGAGTGAGATCGCGAAGAGAGGGAGAGTGAGATTGTAAGGAGAAGAGAGGGAAAAACCTGGATTTAGGGTTGGGTTCTGAACTGAGTCGGGTCGGGTCTGGCCCAAAAGTGCAGAGAAACCTTATTTTCAAAAAAAAAAAAAAAAAACACCATTTCTGCCATGACATTCCGCCACGCCACGCCATCTTCGTAATGGGCTCCGTCATTTCCGTCATGCCATTTCGCCATGGCGCTGCTATAACTGACATTTAACAACACTGAGAAGGGCAGAGGTTATGGAGTCATGATTCACAGCCCTTGAGTCTTCGGTGGAATATCTCAAGAAGGCGGCCACCAGCAACCACAGCTCTCAGCTCTTATAATAAAAAAGGGGGTCAGCAAATGCTGTTCTCAGCTCTCAAAATCATGAAGATTGAGAGAATTGAAGAGATCAAACAGGTGCTGCAGCTGTTGGTGAAGAAACAAGAACAACATTAGAACCAAATGAGTCATTGAAGATGAAGGGGGTCTCTGATTCTTGTGGGTTGCTATCTCATTCTTACAAGGCCAGCATTTTAGAGCTGGAGCATGTGCCATAAACAAAAGCTAATGAATAAAGAGGTTGATCCCCATTCAACTGAGCATATCAAGAAGAGCATCGAGGGAGTGAGTCAGAATGCAGTGAAGCAGAGGCTTGCTCTTGGACAAGAAAGGTGGAGTCAGTCACCTTTGGTGGCAGCACAAAAGGGGAAACTAAAATGAGGGGTAGTGATTTTGTTGAGCATGGCAGTGACTCTGTTAGGTATGGTGTTAGTTAGGGACATATTAATTGTTAGTTATAATAAATTAGTTTGTTAGCTCAATTATTTAGTTACAATATATTAGTTTGTTAGCCTTAATTAGTTAGTAATTTGGGATGGTTTAGATTGTAGAAGAAATAAGGCATATGGCCTCTATAAATAAGATGGAGGAAGAGAGAGATGTCAGCTTGTCAATTGTGGTGCAATCACTCAAAGAACTATTGAGTGTGTTTTATTCTATAATGCAAGGAGTTTCTTCTTGTATTTCTTAATAAAGCTACCAATTTCTATCAGACTCGTTGCAATCTTTTGGACCAGAAAAGTCGAGAAGGTAATTCATTGATCTAGAACTAGACTTATGGTGGAGAAGAAAACAAAAGTGATGAAATAAAATGTTAGAATCCAACTGTAAGGTATGAGACTTGAGTCACACATTAGAAGAATAAGATTCTACTATGGGGTTTATAAGGCCTTGGGCTTTCCAACTACAACAGGTAGGTTTTGTTGTGTGGTTCTCTCAAGGTTCTTATCAATTGGTAGCCCTTTCACCATGTTTCTATTGGTGCACATTCAGCTTGCATGGGCATCAGGGCTACTGAGCGTGGTGGGATACTAGGATCCAATTGTAAGGTATGAGACTTGAATCTCACATTGGAAGGGTAGGATTCTAATGTGGGGTTTATAAGGCCTTGAATTCTCTAACTACAACAGCTAGCTTTTGTAATGTAGTTCTCCTGAGGTTGAAATATTTATGGTGGAGGAAGAAAGTTGATCCATGAATGAAAAGGAGAAACATGGGGAGAGCAGAGAGAATTTGGGATGCAAAACATTTTTTAAGATAACCCAATAGTAGAAGAAATCATGAAGGAAGTCAAACAGGGAAAGGCGGCAATTGCTCAAAAGCTTGGGATTTTCAGTAGTTTGCTTCTAGCAGAAAGAGGGTCTTCATATGGAAGGGATGGAAGTCTGAGTTTCTTGCAAACTGTGGGACTCAGCATTGCCTGAACCTCTGGACTCAGATTCACCCACAGAGGCTAATGAGTCATCTGTTACTGAGTTCTGGTTCTCATGATATGCTGGTCAATCTGCTACTGCCTGAACCACTGGATTCAAGTTTGCATCAGTCAATGGGAAGATGTGGTGATTGCAGCAAGGCCTACTGCAGTGAAATGCAACATGAATGAAGAGAAGAGAGATAAAATTGTAATTACACCAATCAATCCCATTTCTTGATCTAATAGGTCAAGCCCAGACCATGAGACACGCACTTTGATTTTATAGAAGATTACTTTTTAGGCTTTGAAGGGGCAAGCCCATTTCTCTAAGGCCATGGAGGAGATCATGACTCATGAGGCTGGGAAATATGGATCTAATCAGAGGAGGAAGATTTGCTTCTAGGGTACACTTTGGGGCATACATTAGCCACAACCTTGTCTCACTGCTGTGGGCCTTTAGGTTAAAGAAACTGCAAAAGATCCCATTTTGTGTTACCAACAGCATGTTTAGCAAAAAGTTCACCATCCCACGTCCCCTGTTTGTCTGCCTAAGACAGCGCTCTAGATTTTAGTCTTGCTTCTAGAATTCCAATATTCCATCCTTAAGGACAAGGTTGAATTTCAAGAGGGTGGAATATTTGTTACCAAAGAAAGATTTGATTAATTTAACAGAAAATTTGAGAAAGAATACTCTTCCTCCAACGATTTGCCATTCATGAAGGACTTCTTTTTTCACAAAGAGCAAATGCTCAATTTACAAATGATATAGAACATAATTAGCTTCTTCCCTTCAATGCTTCTAAGTTCTAACTCCTGGCATACTTTTAGGAGTTTAAAAAGATAGATTGATAATGTTCTTTTGTAATTCATTAAATATGTTAAGTATCTCCTTTTTATCCCCAACTATAAAATAGTTTGAATGAATAGTTCAGCTCCTTCGAGATGTCATCAATCACATTCATGCTGCATCTGTCATTGCCTCTTGCAAATTATTCAGAAGTGCATCAATATAAGCAGTACAAGTAATTGATGACTTCTATTAGAATGACAGTAAACAAATTATTTCTAGATATGAAGACAATGTTTATGTCATAGAAATTAAATAAATACAGGAGCAATGTTTTCAACAGTCTAAACAGATAGTAGAAAATGATTATTTATTAAATTACTATGTCATTTTAAATGATTCCTTGTTTTGCTCTAACTGAAGGGAAAGGATGATTTAGCATTAGTCCAGGCAAGATGGGCATTTGTAAACAAGGATGAGAACTTGCTTACTAGATTGCAGAACATCAATTTGTCATTCCACTTTGAGGTGGAACAGCAGGTGAATGGTGTCTTCATTAACTTCTTTGGTTTCAATGGAACTGCTGGTGTCTGGAGAATAAAGGCCCTTGAGGAAAGTGGTGGCTGGTTGGAGCGAACAACTGTTGAGGACATGGATATTGCTGTCCGTGCTCATCTCTGTGGATGGAAGTTTATCTTTCTCAATGATGTTAAGGTGCATTATATTTCAAATTTGGTGCCTAATAAATGTTTGGAGAGTTTAATGACTATTTTGCTTCTTTCAGTGTCTTTGTGAACTTCCAGAGACCTATGAGGCATATAAGAAACAACAACACCGCTGGCATTCTGGTCCGATGCAATTGTTTCGCTTGTGTTTTGTAGACATACTTCGATCAAAGGTAATGAATTCCATGCATGTTTTATTATTATTATTATAATATTGTCAGAATATAAATAGGGTTTTGCTAATATACTCCAGCCCCTTTTTTTGAAGTAGTATTGTTGCATAGTACACCAATATTTTAATAGGTAACCCAAACTACATTTAAATACAATAACTACATTCGAAGGGTATTTAAGTCATTTCATTTTTCTCTTTCCGGCATTCACTGTCTTCTCCAAAGTATGTTAAACCAGAAAGCAGACAACAGAAATTGCACGACGAGATCATTTTAATTCAAATTATGCATTTGCTAATACTCGGTGAATGATTAAATACTACAACATCGCTCAAAATAGTATACACAAGATGGTCCAAACAGTGACAATGAGGAGTTATCCCATTGTGTTATACTGATTCCTAAGCACACGATTGACATTCTAGCACATTTAAATGTGCATTATGCAGCAGCTAGTAATCTTCCAACTGCATAAACCAGTAACCTATAGTAATTTTCTCTCCTTAATTTCTTTTTTGATGACTTTGAAAAGAAAACATTGATTTCACTGTTTATTGGTGGGGCGACGGGGGTGTGGCTTTGGGAGTGCTGTGGGTGCTGATGGTAGTGCGGGAACATGCCTGTGGTGTGATGGTGTGGTGACGTGCCTGTGGCATGGCAGTGGGATGGCATTTGGGGTGGCTTCCTACACATGGGATAATGTGTTTCAGACTGTGGATGATAGCTACAGGGCAGCGTGGACAGAGAAAAGAAATTGATTTTTTTTAAATCTTTAAAAAATGAAATGACTTAAATGTCCTTTCAATGTATTCCCATTTAAAAGTAGTTTTTTCTTTGTCTTGAAATTTTGAATAGAGTGTCAAAATACTCCAACTTTAAAAAGTGTTGGAGTTTATTAGCAAAACCCATATAATATGCCGCTTTTCAATGTTTTAAATTCTGAACTTTATTTCCAAATTGTCTTTCAGTGAAAATATCTATTTCTTGGTAGTGAAATTTGAATTGTTATTACATAAATTCACTTACTAAGATGCATATGCACATCATGAAGATATTTGTTGTTGTTAACTGGTAATTGTTAGCATAGTTTAAGACATTCTACATGAAGATAGATTCACACAAGAGGAAAAGTGCCAACTTGATGGTATCAAATTTATGCTATTAGGCTACATAAATATTTTCTGCTGATTTGCTTCAATGATATTATGATTGTAAGGAGTAAGTTAAGAAAGGACTAAATGGTATTTGTTATGTGCCCAATTAGACACATGAATTATTGATATTTTGTGTGCATCTTTTACTCAATGTTAGACAGTTTTTAATCTTCTTTCTTGAGAAGACATGTAAGGGGTTAAGACTTCAAAGCTAAAACCCACCAACTTTGCACTACAAGAATGTTATGTCAACCTTACTTCATGCCTTGGTCTAAGTAATGCTCATGATGTGCATTGTAGTTAGACAGCATCGGTTTGCCTTGAGGGCAGAGGGAGCTTCTACAACTTCTCATTTTTTCTTTTATTAATAATAAAATAATAAAACCTGAATATCTCCTGCTGAAGCAATGGCATTTGAAAGAACCTTGCAAAATCATTATATAGTTCTCATAAAGCTGTTAACTGTCTACTCCTAACTAATTTCCTTTCTGTCAAACCCTTAGGAATTTAAAATCCAGTTGCATCAAGGAGTAAATAGTTGTATGTGATTAGGGATGGCAATGGGTAAAGTACCCGATGGGCACCCGCAAAATTTACCTACAATGGGTAGGGTATTTACCCGCTATACGGGTACGGGTATGGGTGTGGGTAAAAATCCGCAAATTTTAATGGAGATGGGTGTGGGTATGGGTATCTAAGTACCCATCCCGCCCCATACCCGCATATATATATATATATATATATATATATATATGTATGTATATATGCTTGAACTTTATTCTACAATTATGAATTGAATTTTTGTATTATTATATTACTTATGTGAAGTTATATAAGATTAATATAAAAATATATTTAATAATAAAGTAAATCAAAAAATTTATTTTGGTTTATATTTTTAATAGAAAAATTTATTTACTATTTTATATCATTTAATTAGGCTAATACAATTTAATTATTACATTGTTAATATGAGATTGACTTTTTTTAAAAATATTATTTATATATGACACACATAAAATATTTTTTACACAAATATTTTTGTTAATAAAATCATATTGATGTTTAAATTATAAAGTGAATGATAAATAATAAATATATTATAAATATTTTATAAATTTTACAATCACCTACTATTACCGTAAACTTATTATTTATTAATAATATTTAAATTTTATTTTTATATTTTAATTTAAAATAATATTTTTCTATGCAACATATGTATTACAAGCACAACTATAATCTATTGAATCTAAATAATATTATTCTTACTATTTATTCACATTCAAAGAAGTTATTGAAAAGATATAAATATAAAAAATTATTGTTAATTTTTATTTGTTAATTTTTTTAAGATAAAAAAGTATAATTTTTTTAATATACATGTATATTTCTTTATTATAAAATTTTGTTGTAACTATTTATCTTTTATTCAAATTCTTTTTTTTTAATTTATATACATTATAAATATTTAATTCACTAAAATAATTTTTCAAAAATTTATATTTTTGATAAAATACTTTCGTATAGTATATGAGTTAAAAAATACTAGTATTAATATATATATTAATTATATTATATTATATTATTTTAATTAAATCTATTATTTTTCTTACAATTTCAAATTCAAAAGTTAAAAAAAATATTTTATGTATCAACTTTATATTGTTAGTATTGAACTTCTCTACTCTAACTCTATTCTAATTCTCAATGTCTGTCTCACTAAAACTTAATAATTATGAAATATTATTCATTAGAGTTAGTTGATAATGCCGTCCCAAGAGGTTACTAAGTGATCCCACACGAAGGGACAATCATTGTACAGATCTATTTCGTTGTCGTTCTGACATTACCAATCAATCAAATCTCACACAAGATAGGATTATCACTGACAAATAACTTGTGTGTTTAGTTTTACTTATTGTTTCTAAGAATTTTAGTTTAGAAAATTATTATATTAAGATACATTTAACATTTATGATCTTTTGTATTATTATGTTACTTATGTGAAATTATATAAACATATTTTTCTTTATAAATATTTTTTTCTCAAACAAGCGCGGGTAATGGATACAAGACAGGTATGCGGGTACCCAGAAGGTATGGGTACGGGGATTAATGTTCATACCCACGCGGGTATGGGGCCAGGTACGAGTATTTTTTTAAAACGCGGGTATGGGGATGGGTACTGTAGTACCCTACCCATTGCCATCCCTATATGTGATGTGGTATAATAATTAAGCATCTACATCTTGTGGAATAGTGAAGTGCAGGCTTATTGAACGTTATTTTTCTCACAATTTATGTCCTTTATATTAGAAAATGTTAATTAAATTTGTTCAAAACTTTTGGCTATTGAAATGCTATGCTTAAACAATTATTTGTAATTTGTCCATATCTTGCGCTGTATGGAATGCTGACTCATTTGTCATCCATTTTATTGAAATAATTTGACTTTTAGTAGGATCTACAATTATGTTAATGTTAATTCCATTTGTACCAGGTTAGTTGGGGAAAGAAGGTCAATTTGATATTTCTGTTCTTCCTCCTGAGGAAGCTTATCCTGCCATTTTATTCATTCACCCTCTTCTGCATCATTCTTCCATTGACCATGTTCCTTCCCGAAGCTGAGCTCCCAACCTGGGTTGTTTGTTACATTCCTGGAATCATGTCTGTCCTAAGTGTTCTCCCAGCTCCACGGTCATTTCCGTTTATAGTTCCTTACCTTTTATTTGAGAACACTATGTCAGTAACTAAATTTAATGCCATGATATCTGGATTATTTCACTTTGGAAGTTCTTATGAGTGGGTGGTTACAAAAAAGTTAGGAAGATCGTCAGAGACAGATTTGGTTACCTTTGAGAAAGAATCTCAACCTCTAATGCGATCTACTAGTCTTCATAGATCATCCTCAGATTCAGGCATTGAGGAACTAAGCAAACTAGAATTGTCAAAGAAAACTGGGAAGCCCAAAAGAAATCGTCTCTTCAGGAAAGAACTTGCTCTTGCATTTATTTTGTTAACTGCCTCAGTTAGAAGCTTACTATCTGCCCAAGGGATTCACTTCTACTTCCTATTATTTCAAGGGATAAGCTTTCTGGTTGTTGGTCTTGATTTGATTGGAGAGCAGGTTAGTTGAGGTCCAAATTTTGGATTTTGAGTGCATACAAAACCTTGCAGATCATCATTGATACAAGATAAAGGTCGAAATGGCCCTTAAACCCATCCCTGAACACATTGATTTGAGCCTAAGCTGTTCAGTGGTTTTTGGCTCCCAATTAAAGCAAATCAGTTGCCTTGACGCCCAACTTGCAGTTCTGTTTGTTTTTGCTGTAAAGACTTCTGCCTTGTTGTTGCCAAGTCATATGGCTTAAGTTACGTAAAAATTGTTTCAATTCCGAATGGCGAAACGTATGGACACTGAAAAAAATGGTGGTTCTAGATTCCTGACCTATAATGCCAATATACAATTGCTTGCCTGCCTGAACTGGAAAGATGGAGATTTGTTAGATTATAACATTTTTTATTCTTTTGAATGTTGACATACTGTACAATCAGAGAGTTTCATTATATCGTTGCTTAAATTGTATTTGTTATCAGGCAGCGAGATTTTTGGTGCATCTCCTACCAAGTATATTTTCATCGTTTCCCATTAATCTTATTGGTTGTCTTTATCATAGTTTACTTTTATACTTGATTAAGGTTGTGAAACTCTTGAGCCTTGTAAATGGATAACCTCAATATTACCTGTCTGATTAAGCAAGCTTATCCAGAAATAAGGATTGTCAAACGCAGGACTCTAGACAGTACCAAATTTGTGCTGGTTTCGCAAGCATATTTACAAGAGATTGTATCTCGCAATCGCCAGTGTAGATTGGCAAAGATTATAAATTGATTAAAGAGGAGGAAAAATAAACTAAAATTTTAACCAATTCATCCAAAAATTCAAGGGTGGTTATTGAATGGGGTAAAGCGGAGATGAGTGGTTTATGTTAACGATGTAGAGTATCTGTAAAATTAATTTGGCTTAAAAGTGAGTTTAAAAGTAAATTTTTTTGTATGGGAGATTTTTCCTTAAAAGTAAATCTGTAATAAAATTCATATGCAAAAGTTATAAATTACTACCTTGGTTTCAGATGTGAGTTTGAAAAAATAAATTAGTCAAGAGTTACTAAAACATCATTGTTTTTTTTTCAAAATCATGTTTCAATAAAATTACATGATTATGTGATATTTTAACGTGTATCAATGCATGTTTGATAATACGTTGATATAAACTTTACGTTCACATAAAAGTTACTACTAGTCACATTGTTGTAAATGCAAATGTGAATCTAATGCTATTTCGATGTAGTTCCAAACACATTAATTGTAGTTATAGTAAACAATTATCAACTAAATATGTGCAAGTTAAAGGTTGATCTAGCAAAAAATTTGGTATCAAAGACCGAAAAACATTGTAACTTTCATAGGAGTGATATTGATAAATTAGCAAAAAGAGAAAATAAGTAATAATTAAATTACTTCCTAACATCATGAGTATTGGTCAAATTAAAAAAATTTATTTTACTTCTTAAAACTACCCAATGTTGGTCTATTCAAGTCAACTCATGTCTTTTCCTCTTTTTTTTTTTAGGAGGTCATGAACTCGATTGTTTAAGCTACAAGACATAAACTTACAGTTAAAAAAATGGAGACTCAACCAAACCAACTTCAACTTTTTTTTTTTTTTAAATGTGTAAGGTTTGGACAATAAAATTTGATCTTAAATTAAATCTAAATTTTTTAATCTCATCCGATAAAATTCGATGCAGGCTAAGCTCACAAATTTCATAAAAGTTCAAAAAAAGTTTATTTTTGTAAACCTAAATTACATCTAAATTTTTGACCGAGTGTGCTAATGTCACTCCAACGAGTCAATCTAAATGAACAAAATAACCCGTTTTGCCTACTCTACACGAGTACCAAATAAAGATCAACTCCATATAATGTGTTTTACTCTTTTTCCATTTTGTCATCCTCTTCAATTGAATTATTCCTTATGCCTAGGAATATGAAAACTATTAAGTCATAATGAGATGGAAATGTATAGAATTTAAATACATCACTAGTTCAACTAGACAACAGAGAAGTGAAGAACAAGGAAGAAGAAAACTATAATCCTCGTTTTCTAGACTTGATACCTTAATCCCAAACATGTAGTTTTTTTTCCCTCGTCTTGATTTTTGGTTCTTTTCTTTCTTACTTAGATAATGGCTCTCTTCCTCCTTTCCTCACTTTATATTAGGTTTTAGAAAATCTTACTTTTCACCTCAAAACATAGGTAAAACTACAACTTTACTATGTTGCTGTCACGAATTACGGCTATGGTGATCACTACAGACAAGTTTTAGTGCTCTCTGGTTGGTAAAATTAATTGGTGATAGCTACTAAGGGTGTGGTGGCTACCACGGGCAGCTCATGGTGTTTGCTGGATGCTAAGATCTCTTTCTTTTCAAGCCTTTTCTCTACTCCAAAGTTATTTTTCCTACAAAATAATGCCTACAGTTGTATCTTGGCTAAATAAGTTGAATAAAAGCTAGAATGAAGTAAAACTATGTGATGGAAATGCAAAATTGACTTATATGGTATATGTAATGCCCTAAATTTTGGTAATATTAATTATTATTATTATATATATATGTATATATATATTCATATGTGTGTTGATTTATTTGATAATGATGTTTATGTGTATTAAGTACATGGATGTGTGTATTTATGTGTATGCATGACTGGATAGGGCTGAGATGGGTTAAGTGCCTAAGTGCAGGGCGTGATACTGGGCTGTTCTCACTATAGCGAGAGGGCCTTGGGATGAAGGACCAGAATTGTCGCCTTCTTGCTGTAGCGAGAGACGTCTCGCTGTAGCGATAGAGCGACAGTTTGGGTGCATTTCTGAGTGTAGTCTCACTGTAGCGAGATTCTGCAGAAACTAAGGTGCAGTTTCGTCTGATATTTTCGCTACAGCGTGAGGGCGTGTTGCGACCAGAAAAGGATTTAAAGGGGGTTTAGGGTTTGAGAAGTTATTTCTCAAAAATTCCTTCGAATCCCTCAACCCAGAACCCTTTTCCACTGATTAAATTGCCTCCAAAGCCGTCGAGAGCTTGATTGAAGGTTGAATCCATGTGGGGAATGCTTGGAGGTGAGTTTTAATGGTTAGGGTTCTGTTTCTCATCCTCTTTTCTCTGTTTCTCGGTTTCTTGGAGTTTTCTTGGAGTTTTTCCATGTGTTTTAGGCCAAAATCGGTGTAGGGAGCACGTTCGTGGTTGAATTTGAGTGTGAGACGTCAATCCAAGGTAAGGGGGAACTCTACCATATCTTAATGTATTGTAATTCTTGTGTGTTTTGATGATTAATGCAATGTGGCTGAGATAGAAGATAAAAATTATATGTTTGATGAAAATTGATATGCAATGTGATGTGTGATAGAATAATTGGACCCCGTGAGGGTGATTGTGTGTGATGGAATGTCATTGATTGGTGAATTAATGATATTGTGAAATGAATGTGGGTCTAGTGTCGTGTATTTGAGTGTCATGTGGGGATGTGTGCCGTGTGTAAGCATGACTATTGCATGCGTAAATGAAATATGTGTGAATGGGCATGTTAGTGTTGTTGTAATGTGCTGTGAATAGTTCAGCAATACACTGGGGATGTGGGAGATGAGGACGGTAGAAATACCTTGGGAAAGAGGGAGTAGTGGTGACACCGACTGAGGAACGGGTGCACCACGGGCCACACATTCTCTTCCTGACTAGACCTCTGACTACTATCTTTGTTGAGCGACCCGTAACTGCCCACGTGGTATCCGTGAGGCGGGGTAACTGGCGACCATTCATGGTGTAAATCTGTGATCACAGTGCTGCAATGAATATGGCTGGCGTGCATATGCATGAGTTTATGAATTATACTTATGGATGTGGAATGCTACTTGTGAATGTAATTGTTTAATATATTGGAAAAGTACTGGAGGTGAGACTCTATGTTGACTGTGTGTTTTTGGGTAGTGTAGAGTACTCACCCTTACATTCATTTTTCAGGTAATCAAGACGATCAGCACCAGACTCAGTGAAGGGACGGATGGATTACTATAGGACTTAGATTTTATTTTGAAATTGTTGTAATTGAACTAGTCCTGTCGCAGTTATTTGATATTAATTTGTAACCCTTCACTTATTTTAAAATTTTTTATGAAAATTTGGTTATCCAATTTTCGAAATTATTATTTAATTGAAATTAAATTTAAGGTGTTACAGTATACATTCTACACATACATCAAATATAACGAAGGGGAAGTTCATTCAGCTAATGCAACCTTACCTAAATAAGATAAAATCAGCTAAAGATAATGTTGAAATAAGTAAATATTTTGTTCCAACAACTCCTAGATTCTAACCATCTCTCAAAATTGTATTGTGTAAAGAAGCAACACAGGCTAGGATGGTAATTGCTAGATGGATTTTTAAGCACTCGGTCCATTTATTGCAATACAATCAACATACTTTTAACCGGCTTTGGATGCAATTGCTGCAATTATTTCTGGTTTTAAAGGTCCATCTTATTATGAGTAGGGTTAACTTGTTCTGAGATTGTAAGCAAAAGTGTCAATTATTTGTGAGATGTCATCTGGCCAATTGGGTTAAGACTAGATGTACAATCATAGTTGATATATATAGGGGGAGTGATCAAAGCGAAAAGACATTGATAAACTTTTTTATTTATTGTCTTGCTAGTATAACATTTGTGAAATATGTTGATGCATTAGATATTGTGAAAAGTGGGATCATTATGTAATTTTTTAGAAGTTATTGAGTGGGTTGGACTTGATAATGTTCATAGAGTAATAAATAGTATAACAGATTATGTAGTTTTTGGTAGATTAATACAAGAAAAATATAAAACCATTTAGTCCCCTTGTGTTGCTCATTGTTCGAATTTCCTTTTCGAAGACATTGGTAGCATGCCTCATGTGCCAAACCTAGCATTAAAATCTTCTAAGGTAACTATCTTTATATACTATCATATGAATTTGTTATCTTCACTTAGGAAAAGAGAAGGGTTGGACAGAAATTGTAAATCCAAGAGTGTCTCAATTTTCTTTCACTTTTATCACATTGAAAAAAATTTATGATCACTAGAATGATTTACAAGCATTAGATGTACAAGTACTTTACTAAGCTATAAGTACTATCGTTTTTTATGATAAGTTTCGAAATGATTGCTTAATTATATTGAAGATTGCAGTTCCCGTTACTCATTTACTAAGGACCGTAGATGTGAATAAAAAGCCTTCTTTGGAATATGTTTACGGAGGCATGCACTGCACAAAGAATTCAAGAAAGGATATGTTAAAGAATAAAAGTAATTTGTATATGCATTACACAGATAATATCATCAAGGCTAAGTGGGATAACAATTTGAAGTGCAATCTTCATGCACAACTTACTTATTGAATCCTATTTTTTTCTAAGATGGAAAAAAGTTTAGTAAGGAGAATAGGATCGTTAAAGAACTTCTTAATTTGTTTAAGGTAAAAAGCCTTTGTCCTAACTTGTCCAAAGCCATTCAAGAAATTCAAGTGTATAGGAACAAACAAGAAACTCTTTGTCAAGAAAGTGCTTAAAGTCACCAATTATGCAATAGCCTATAATTATAAAAATCTGTTTGTTTTAATGTTTTGAAGATTAATTATGCTCACGTAATTAAATATTCCTTTTTAGAT